TTTCGTTGGAGATCATAAGTCACAAGGAGTGAATGCATCTGCGCTAGCCACTGAGAACGATTTTGAGCCATGTCACCAATTGTTTCCAACCATAGATTTTTACCGTCCCGAGGACCCCAGCCTGGAAGTCTACACCTTTCTACGTGGCTTAGACCAACTGTTGTGGATTTCATTGACTGATGCCAAGTTTTGGTTTGACCGCCGCTAGCTTTTTTCCAGCCTGACCCTATATCCGCTAACATAGCTCGTCGAGGGAGGCGATGGCTTGGCATACGTAACACATGTCCTAACCATCTCAGTCTTTGTAACTTCACGACTTCGTCGATTGATTTCCCCTGTTTACCTAGAACTCGACGCCTAACCTCCATGTTGCTCACCTTATTATGCCACTTTACACGGGAAATAGAACGCAGGCACCTATGATCAAAGACAGCTAGCTAATCTTTTCATGTCTTCCACTCTCAGTGGCCAGGTCTCACAACCGTAAAGGAGGACGGAGCGGACTGATGAGCAGTACACTCGCCCTTTGGTCGATAGTCGAACATCTCGTCTACGCCAGAGTCGGCGTAAACTAACAAATGCGAAACGAGCCCCTTGTATTCGGGCTGAGATTTCGTCAGAGATCAGCCCGTTGGGGCTGATGGTACTTCCCAAATAAGTGAAGCGGTCAACGTGCTCTACCACTTCACTTCCTATTTTTAAACTAGGCGTCGATGTAGTCCAGTCCTGTAACATCATCTTGCATTTGGCGGGAGCGAATCGCATGCCAAACATTCGTAGATTGCGGCTCAAGGTGTTCAGAAGACTCTGCATTTCGTCAGCGTCTTCGCCTAGAAGGACTATATCGTCTGCATATTCCAAGTCAACGAGATTATTCCCCGGTAGCAAGTCAATTCCTGAGTCGCTGAAGTCACTTAGGGCTAAGTCCATTAACACATCTATGATGAAGTTGAATCGCAAAGGGGATAATGGGCATCCTTGATGGACACCACTGTTGCACTAGATTCTCTTTGAGTTAAATATCTTTTTCAGATGAATAAATTAGTCTAGACATTGGATTTGTCAATATTTACGGAAGTGTTTGTAATAGCAGAAGGCAAGACACGGAAGCCAAGGGTATGTTTTTCTTCGACCGAACAGCTATTTATGTCTAACACAGATTATATTCCTTAACCAATCACTGAGCGTATGATTTTGGTTTACATTAAATGACATGAAATAGAATGTTCAAATAAATATACATGGCATTCTGTTGCTAATGCTGTATTGAACTGTGGAAATATGTGAGAATAATATTCCGTTGGAACACATATTGTCTGTATCACACCACCAAAAATGTATCCACCATGTTGCGTCAAATACACCAAATTCACTATTTGTACAATTCGAGGAGGTGGAATTTCACCGTAGAGTTTCTTTTGCAAACTGAAATTATTCAGATCATACTGTGGTATGTACTTCATACCGTAAATGATAATCAAGAAAGCAAGAATAAATGCCCAACGCGACATACTACTGATGAATTAATTAATATAAGTAGTTGGTTGCCGTTCAAATCAGCCTGTGGTGCTTGCTGGCTAAATCGGAGTGATCTAACCAAGCTTATCAGCCTTGGAATATTACCTCAAACTGGAAAAATATGCAACTTTGATATATATTGCATTACCATTTCCCCCAAGAAGAAGGTAGGTTAGAATTCAATTGGTTTGAATTGATTCCGACCTCCAAGCTGAGTCAAACTCCATACGCCTTCGAATGAAATTGACTCTAAACAAGCTAAACGACCGTTCCTTGTATAGATGATCATCTCGATCTGGATAACAAGCACTACTGATTGCTGCGAGTGATATTGAACCCTGGTGAGACCTATCTCTCAGCCAAAATTGTAGACAACAATTTACGTCAATGTCACATTCCGAATCGGGGTCATGAAAAAAAACAATAACAAAGCTTAAGCTTGAGAAATTCACCAACTAGTCACAGCAGACTTATCGTGTGTGCAAATATGATTCGCAGATATATGGATAATCTTGTAAGAAACGGTCACAAGCAGTACAGAATAACCTTCAGCAAGAAAACAACCAATCAGCGGACGTTGCTTGTCTGATAACAATACTGCGAATAGTAATGTACATAAAAATCTATAAATATTTGTTGATTTTCTCAATAAACGATCTGTTGCCTGACCCTTGTCTTCTGCCGTTACAGAACTACTTATATCAATCTATCAACTGTGTTGTATAGCATCTCATTCATTTACGTTTTTATGCAGCTTGGACTGTTATGGTGTGTGAGAACTTTTAACACAATCTGTAGGGTTTCTTTCTCTGCTTCCATTGCCTTCATAGTTATTCAGGATAGTTAGGGATATACTGTTGCTTGTTTTTGCATAGTACCAGAATTCTAGATTTTTGTGATGGCTGGTCACATGCAGGTATATGGGCTATCTGTTGTTCTTTATGAAGCCCCTGGTTTCTAATCAAACTTTATGTGTAAATATAGACACTATGAAACCAAGTGACTCTGTGGAGTGTGCTACTGATAAGATTTATCAGTAGTATATACATAAAAAATAAAATAAAAATCTTAGTCTTTAGTTCAATTTAAAAGGGTCCAGGGTCCGACCCCTGGTAAGGACGCACTTCCGAAGAGTCCCAAAGCAGGACGAAACAGCTGTCCAGTCCACCCTGGTTTCCAATGACCTCTCTCTGTAAATGATGTTAGTCCGTAAAGGAAATCTAACAACCGTAAAATTATAAAACTTGGATTCACGTTGTATACTAAACCAGTTTATTTCTCAAAGTAAAATGAGATATAGCACTAACTAAACTATTAGTGTGTTCAAAGATGAAAAAAGAAGCCACCCTGAAATCTACAGAAATTGAGCTCAAGTATATGACAATCATATTGCCACTTACTATACGAAATGAGAATTTCAAAAGTTTGATGTTTGTTTGGGACTACAGTAAAATAATTGTTTCGATTATATATATAAAAGATTATTTAAAGTTTTCTCTTCATACCGAGGGATTGAAATCACTTTTATTTCTGTTTTGTATACACACGCCTACACATTATTAAAAATTCCGAGCTTACCTTGTAACTGGAAGGTCCTGGGTTCGAACCCCACTGTGGTGGGTGGGTGCATACTGCCGATAATTCCCAAACTAGGATGAAACAGCTGTCTAGCAGTACTCCCTGGTTGGTTTTCAATGGTTCTCTAACTGATATCAGTCCATGATCAACTCGTAAAAATCAAATATTGCACTGCCGTCGATAGAAACAGGACACAACATCAACTTTGATAGGATTAAGGTTTTACGGAAAGGTTTTGGTTCGTATATTGAAAGACTGACCGCGGAAGCCTTATATATATGGGAGGATCCTAAAAGCTTGAACAGGTGTGATATTAGCTGATGAATGAATAAGATGGACATGTATCACTAATTTCCTATGCTTATTTTAGTTTTCCTGATTATATATATATATAGGTTCCTATGGAAAGGCTAACAAATGATGTACAATTGTTCTCCCATGCACACACACACACATTATTTTATATTGCATATCTTTATATTTCATAATCAGTTATCCATAACCATAAACTTAAGTTCAAGCATGAACATTGAAGTTTAATGCAAAAATATACACTGTTTACAGTGTTTGACAAAAGTGGACTAATAGTTCGTAAGTCTGGTGTTACATCTTGATCACAGTTCATACAGTTTTTATTTATTTTGTTTTGATATCTATTTCACGAATCACATGATTAAACAAGGAATTTAAAGTCAAAGTATGTCCTTTTATGTACACATACCCTTAAGTATTTTAATCTCGATTATTTCCTTGATAATGTTTCGACTTTTTCACTGAACGAAACGTTGGAATTATTTATTGAATTTCACTGATATTTATACAGATATAATTTTCACATACTTAATTCGACTTAGATTTTCCCGTCGATTAATTGAACTGAAGTGCTAGGTCTCAAGTCCACAAGTCGGCTGCTTGTGAAGATGCTTTGACGGTATCCAGTCATTTAACTTGAAGTCAATTGGTGGGGCTCGTCAACTGGATGTACCTACATTCCCTGGTGAGAGTGACACTGTTCCAACTGAGGTTCGAACCCAGTGCTCATAGTCTCAAACGCCAAACCGTTATCCACTAGACCATTTAGCCCACGAGGGCCAACTCTTGTGCGATGGGTTTTGTTGCGCAAGTGGTCTGGTGGATAACGCCTTGGACACTGGGTTCGAGCCTCAGTGGGAACACCATCACTCATTGGGGAATGCAGGTACACAAGTCCACTTTCCACTCGTCGCCCAAACTTTGTGCAACTATTCATACAAATAACATCACGTTCGTCTCCAGTGATTGTCAAAGTTACCGACAATATCAGCTGAGACTGGGCCTATCGATCCTAATAAAAATCAATCAACCAAGAAGCGGGAGCAAATTCAAAATAACTTCAATAAATAATGGACGGATGGGTTTAATTCCACGCAGGCATACCCTACTACTGAATCAGAATATAAGTAGTATACAAAATAAAACTAAAATTCATGCACATTAATAAGAAAAAGACATCACAGGCTATCCATACGGTTTTATTCTTGGCGAAAAAGAAAGAGGGCAAAAAATTCTTAAGTCTTAGAAAAGTATGAAAAAAAGTGAGAAACAAATATGTACGTACACAAGACAAATGAATCTTTATCTCTTAAGTATATAATAAATAAGAAGGCACTTGTTCACTTTACCTTATGTTAGGAATAATAAAAAATTAGGCAGATAAAGTGGATATATGGTGGTGAAATTCACTCAGCTAGGCATGATATGTATGTATTTATATGTGTGTGCATATATATAACCTTAGTTATATACAGTTTTTGTTGTCTTGATAGTTTAAAGATAAGTAATTTTATGTACAATGGTATTCGATTTGTTATTGATTCTATGAATTTAGGCATTTTCGCGTGTTACATTTCAACTTGTTCATGCTCTTATCTTTGTTTTTTCTTACGATATAAATCTGTAATCGATTTGGATGCAGCTCTTGCAGCTCGTTCAGACATATTTTTCTGTGTAGACATCCCCGTGGGATAAGACATTTGAGTGTATAATTGTTGTTCTTGTCCAAGCATTGATGATTGTGCTAACGTCGGTTGTGCCAATGATGCTGATGACGCTGATAATTGTACAAATTCAGAGGTTGCCAGTTGTCCTGTACTCATATTTCTATTTTGTAATTGTGTTTGGGATGCAGATAATGGGAAATCTGATGTGGTAATTAATTGTGGTTCATATTGTTGCATAGTTGTTGTTGTTGCTGAATATCTACCAAGCCCAACGCCACCACCGCCACCAGAGAGATAAGGATTTCTCTTCTGTTGAACTGTTTTTGTAGTTGTACGTTTCAATAAGTCTAAATCAGTTTTAGCCAACATATATGGAGCTACATGTAAGAGATTTTCGAGTAAATGCATTGAATAGGCATACCATCGACGTTCACCATCACTTTCAAAATATGGTTCATTATATGGAGTTTTACGAATAAATTCTTCACAATTTTCAACAAAACTACGTACTAAACTTGATGCATACAACTTCCAGGTGGTTTTCTCTTCGTGTAAGTTATTCAGTGTTGCGACTATTTCAAGTGGGATATCGTTTTCGACATCATTATCCTGTTAGAAAATACAAAAATCAATAATAATAATAAATAATGATTTTCAATAGTTGATTTGTAAGGATTAGATTTGTATTTTATGAGTTTGACCACGGATTGATATCAGTTAGCGAACCATTGAAAACCAGGACGGAGTTTCCTGAAGTTCTAGTGAGAAGTCATGACCAGTGAGGTACAACTAGTCAAGTGTGAGGATGAAGTTCTCACCGATGACACTGGTGGGTGATCGCGCTAAATCATGAACTGGTAGAAGTTAGATTTTATGGGCCATTGAATCAGATCTCGTCCCAGTAGCTGAATGGTATACGAGCTTGCCGTGTAACCGGTAGGTCCTGGGTTCTAACCATCCCCGTGGGTGCCTACTGTCGACGATTCCCAAACTAGGATGAAACAGATGACTGTCCAGTACTCCAGTACTGGTTTTCAATTGTTCTCTAACTGATATCGATCCATGGTCAAACTCGTAAAAACATATAATAATTGTAATTATAAGTAGAAGAGGAAAATACAGTGAGTTGATTGAAGATATTCATGAATAATTCCCGTTCTAGGCATTAATGGAAACAAAACACGTGGTGTTCAGTGAAGAGTCTGTTTTAGCCAACGAATTCATTCACTTAGCTGTACAATCGCAATTAATAATAATAATAATAATAATAATGGTAATGGTGGTTTATTTAAGACAGTATGCGAATATACGGTACAAAAATTTTCAGCGTATTCAGTTCCAAAGTACTTTTTTCTTCACACACGATTCACATGTAAAGTAATAATCTGAAGTATATCTTCATTTCGTTGAAGAATTGTACAGCGTTTACTTGGGAGCAAGTTAAATAATCGCTCAAGTTTATGTATAGGTCATTTGATATAACTGAACGATTAAAACAATGATAAATTCAGATGAAATTAAGCATTTTTCGGAGGAAAGTAATCTCGGTAGCCTAATGATTTAAGCAGGCCGCCTATGAAATTACATATATATATATATACTTATTTTGGTATGTGTGCATGTGTGTACATTAGGTTTGTTCAATAAGAATGCAAATTAGTTAGGGTTATTGTTGTCAAGACATTTAAAAAATGCGATGAGTAATCAAACTGTAACTAGGGTAGTGGAGGTGATGATTGAGAAGAGGGTAGTGGTGATGTGTTGTCAAAACATTGAAGACGTTTATTAAGCTCAATACAGTTTCGTAATAAGGCGAATAATTTAGTGAGTGAGTTGTGATTAGAATACACGTAGAAAATATGCAAGAGTTCTACAAAATTATAAATCTTATAAGGAGTTAGAAAAGAAACAAGACAAAAAAAGAAACAAGCACACAAACATCAAGTCAGTAGAATTCAACATGGTTGTTACCAATGATAGTAGAAGTGGTTGGATGATTTTCTTTTGTGTATATGACTCTGATTTCTCCAAATGAATGACTAAGTATTCAGCAATGCGCAGAGGAGACAAAAGTGAATTGTCCTTTTGGTAGGTTGTTCTTCACTTTGTAGATCATTTTGAAGCAGGAGGTGTTTGTTGAGATGAAATGACCAGTGTTGACGAGATATTCGCTTATCGTACTCCTTATACAGCCACCATTACCATTTTAAAACCATGCGCGACAGTGTTCTTGAACCTTTTTAGATAGGATACACGTTGAACGACCAATGTACCTGACTCCACAGCAGCAGGTGAACTGATATATGCGTGTAGAAGTGACCAGATATAGGATCTTGTCCTTGAGGCTTCTACAGATCAATGAGCGACTGGAGAACACTATTCTCTTAGAGTAGCTGGGGAGAATGCTCTTCTCAAAGATGCTCCTTCGCCTCCAACTATCTAATATCATCAAATTAATGTGCACCGTGATGGCAAGCTACCTAGTAGCATAGTGGCCACATTGCAAAACCTGACTGACTGATAGAATTCAGTCTGTACCAAAGAAAGGACTAAACACGTCCAATCAAAATACCCACTACAGTCTCCTACAGGAGGTCAATCGACAGCCCAAATAGCTCAGTCGTTACATCTCTGACTCCAGGCGGAATTGGGTGACGCAGATTCGAATCTCAGAAGGGACATGAGTTCCTTTAAGGTTGCAGATACGCCTTTCTGAATGGCGAGTGTCAACTAGCACGAAACTTAGGTCAAGCAAGGCTTCCTGTGGCCGATTGCTTCCAACTATCTAATACTATGTCTATTTGTATATGATTAAAAGTTTGATAGTCTATAGAGGATCGGTAGTAATGAATACTATATGCTAGGGAAGTAAGTATCTAATGTGTTCATCTTTGTTATCCACTAATACCCTTTAATTAAACTGAATTTATAAAATTAACTTAACTAGTTCAAATTAAGATTGGTTGAATTCAATCCTTAATAGAAATCGATTTCATATTAAGAGTATAATTGACAGATCTAAAAAAATGTGTCTTGAGTTATGCAGTTGTTTTAAGAATCTCAAAGTATTTAAAGGATTCTACTATTGATTGCTTCATATTAAGAAAATATGTATACATAAAAAGGTAACTCAGATGTTATACTATTTGGAATAGGGTTTATTGATTTCTATATGATACTATTGTTATTATTCCCTTGGGTTCCGAGTGGAACATGGAGCTTCAGCAGCAGATCTCCATTTGGGTCATATTCTCTCTCTCTCTCCAGTTCTCGTTAGTTGGCTTCATGCTTGACCAGAAGCTTTCATCTCTCCCTCCACACACACACACACACACACACACGATCTCCTTCATGACACCCTTGAAGTAATGCCCAACTGGTTGTTTTTCACTTGAGTGTCAGTTGGGGGCCTGATGTTAACCAGTGGTCTCTTCAGCGTATGGTTAATCCATCTCCCATTTCTTCTATAGATTTGTTGAGCAATAGGTTCTTGACTGGATCGTTCCCCATAGTTTCTTGTTGTTAATTCTTTCTAGAAAGCCATTCGATCTTTGCTTTAGAGACAACGAAGGCAGTCGTTGATGGAATTCTAGCAGTAGCTAGTTGGAAATCCTTCTCGCAACGAACCAAATCAATGACCCATATAGAAGAATTGACTGACTGACTGACTGACGGACTTCACATGTGTGTTAAATAGAATCGGAATCTTGTTCTTTATGCCTTAAGGTGCAGAAAATTTCCACACTGATTTTGTAGTGGTGAAAGTTTGTCAAACCTTTCAGATCTTGGCTGGTTTTGACATCCTCATCCATGCCTCTGCCTGTAGTTGAAACGATGCTGCCCAGCTGAATAAGTGAAGGAAGTGACCTCATTCAAATCTCCTCCATCGATAGTGATCGTTGCTGTTGGTTGGGTTAGTTGGTTATCTTCATCACCTCCTTCTTCGCTTTGCTGACTTGAAGTCCTGTCCTCGCTGTCTGCCAGCATCTTCTGCCAATTTGTTGGTTCTCGCCTGCCTCTAAGTATTCGAGTTTGTGTGAGTAACATTAGACATAAATCATCCATAGGCGAAATCCAGATCTTCTAGAGTCCTCTCATTGATCAGTTCAGCGTATTCCTGTCTTCTCACTCCTCATGCACAGTCTGATGCCTAATCCGGTCAGTCCACCGCAATTAAGAATTCCATCGGTGACAGAAGGCATCTTTGTCTTATTCTTGTCTTCACTTCGATCGCCTCGCTAACTTTTCCATTGTGAATCCTTTGAAATGTGGCAGACATTGTCATATAACCAGCCAGCTATTGATGAATGAGGTTGATAAAGACTTAGGGCATTGCATGCCAAGCTACTTCTTGGTCTATGCTGCACTGTGAAAGACCTTTTCGAAGTCGGCAAACTGTGTCACTGTGTCAAATCACCAATGACAACACTACAAAATTGTCAAATAATTGAACTCAACAAAAGATAATGGAACAGACTCTCCTTCTTAAATTAATAAGTAATTATTTCTTTAGAGTATATTAAAGAGTATGCAGTTTAATATGATATATTTTAGTAATTTTTTAAACATTTTTTTTTCAATATAAATGCAAAATTTTGATTTAAGAAAAATCGCATTACTCTTAGATTTTGTTATTTCAATAATCCGAAAACCCAGAAATAAGCAGTTATGAGTCATGTGTGTTTTTTGGAAATCGTATTTAAAAATAAAAAGCAAATGATGAAAGCCTAGTTCTTGAATCTGGCGCCATCAGATTTTATTGACTGTAATCAAACAATTACCACTATGATACTAATAATAATAATAATAATAATAATAATAATAATAATTACGATAGTAATTTGCCAATTTTTAACATCTCACATGATATATATTATTTTACGGAAAAAAATTAACTCAGTCAAACCATTTTCAAAGAAAAATGTTCTGTGTGCCTTTTAAAGTTTTTATTGAAACAAAAATTCTGATTTTTCAAGTATTAGTTTTGTAGGGATTTTAGTATACAATTGGTGGATGGTGGCTAGCAGTGGAATCCAGGATGCGCATTTCGTCCTATTTGGGACTCGTCAGCTGGATGTACCTGCATTTCTCAGTGAGTGATGATGTTTCCACCGAGGCTCGAACCCAGTAACCATAGTTTCAAACGCCGAGTTTCAAACCGAGCACTTCGGTCCAATCAATCGACGGGAAAATCAAAAATTCAATTCAATAATTGTAGGGATTTTGTTTGTTTGATTGGTTTGAAGGTTAACTCATGAGCTGACATCAGTTAGAGAACCATTGGAGAATTTTGAGATACTGTCAGACATCTGTTTCATCCGCCTAGTTTGGGACTCTTCAGCACTACGCACCCACCACAAGGGGTTCGAACCTGGTGAAGGTTGGACATCAGACAGTAACTCATCAAAGAATACATTGCGTGAAATGGTCATGCTGTGTGTACCATGGGCTGACCACTGGATCGGGTCCCGGTGGCTACGAGCTCTCTAGCCTTGTAACCAGATAGTCCTCGGTTCGAACCCTGTCAGTAGGTGCTTACTGATCAAGAGTCTCAAACTAGGCAGACAAAACAGATGACTGCTAGTACCCTCAAGTTTTCCAATGGTTCTCCAACTTCTGTCAGCTCATGATGAAATCCTCCATCCAATCAAACAAACAAAATTCCCTTCAAAACCAATACTTGAATATATGTTATTTCTTTGAAAACTAATGATTGTACAGCTCTTCTTGTCACGATGATAATCTGCCTTCCAGATGTTCATATATCTTTGTTCTATATGCTTTCCATGTTTTTTTTTTGTTTTTCGAGGGACTTTGATAGATTTTCAGTGTAGATTTTGTCTTGAACCAAACATATCGGCTTGGTTTTATACAATCTAAGAGCCTTCCGATTGAGTTTCAACATAGAACTTTCTAACCGAACCGAATGTCACTTAACATTAATAGTCGAGGAATGGGCAGGTGTTGCCGAAGAGTCCCACACTGGGACGAAACAGATGTCCAGTACTTCCTGCAAATTTTCCAATGGTTCTCTAACTGATGCAAGCTCATGATGAAATCCTCTAACCAGTTAAATAACATATATATTAACCAGTGTCAGTAGTTAAGTGGTAGAGTGGTCACCGTCTGTGGGGTCGATTCCACGCTGATGTAGTCATAAAGTTTAGGTAATAGGTAGTAATCCCGGTGGGGCTGACAACAGCACCAGCACTGAAACTTCATAGTTTGAGGCCACCTAATGTTTTCTTTAGAACGCAAGCAATAAGAAAAATAATGGAAAATATGAAGTAGATTTCGATATAGATGTATAATCGCATACCTGTGGATTTTCAGCTTTATTTTTAGCTACCTGTTCACCTGCTAATCGACCAATCACCAATTCTTGTTGTTTTTTCTCTTCTTCAAGAATTTTTTGTCTTTGCAACAGTTCCACATGGATTTTTTCCCAATCTTCTTCTTTTTTACGATAAACTTCAAGTTCTTCTTGAAGTTTTTGCAATTCCATATGCAGGCTTAAATCATTCGCCCCATTCATATTTAATCCAGTCGACATTGTATTTATATGCCCTGTATGATTGTTGCCAATAATGGATCGATACTCTGTACTTAGTGTTGAACGCAATTGATCTGTCCCAGTATTAGCTTTATCCATATTCCCAGCAATGATATGATCAGGATCATGATGACCATTACCATTCATTAAATTGTTATTAGTATTATTATTATTTTGGTGATTAATAGTACTATTACTACCAGCATTTAGTTGAATTTCATCTAACTGTTCATTAAGAAAATCACATTCTTGTGTTTTTAAGTCCAGTGAATGCTTAGCTTGATCTAATTGCCAGGTTAGAGCGTCAATTTCAGCTTCTAAACGTTCACATGCATCCATTAACACAGTAACTTGTTCATCACGTGTTTGTGTATTATTCAACAGAAACATACTCTTCATCTAAAATTTAAAAAAAAAGAAAAGAATAGCAAATAGGTATGAATATAACATTAATAATACTGATAATAACTGGTATTAAGATGGCCCAACAAATATGCAGGAGAAAGTGGATTGTGATGGATTAGACACTCGCTAAGGAGGCCGCCACTGGGTGACATCGCGCGCACGTCAGGCCATTGCTCGAGTGGAACCAGGCCGAAAGGGAAGCGGCGAGTGGGACGTCAGTGCAAGGGTGACGTGGAGGAGATCGTGTGAAGAGGAATCGAAAGAGTATGGACTAACATGGATGCAGGTGAAAAGTACAGCAGAAGGAAGACAGAAGCGGTAAGTGGAGACGTCCAGTTGAAGCCCTATGTTCTACTAGGAACCTAAAGGAACAATAATAATAATAATAAAGCGATGTCATTTATAGTCACTTAAAAGAATATATGTACAGAATGTGGTGTAACTTCTCCATTGATACTCCTATGCTAAAGTGGGAGACGTTTCTATCACATGTCAGAGAAAGACACCCTTTGTAACAATTTTATGCAGGTTTTATGCATTTTTTTCATATATACTTTTTTCCATAACCAAAAGTACCCCTTTCACGTGATTGGTTCGTTGACAGTCGTTCTCTGATTGGTAGTTAGTGATGCTTAAAGCTTAACTTTGCCCAAATGGGTTTTTATTCTCTACGGTACTTTACAAACTAAATGGAAAGAAAAAGCGAGACTAAGAGGCACACTCATGGATGAACGGAGAGAGAGACTGAAAAATGACCTTGACCAACTTACTTTAAAAGCTTCTGTATCTGTTTGATATTGTGCAGCTAATCGACGAAATTCTGTCAGTTGATTTTGTTGTTGATCAATAATTGTACGTGCTTCATTCAAGGCTTTTTTCATTTCATTATTTTGTAAATTAGCATGTTCTAATTCGTCATGTAGCCTGTAAACATCATCTTCTGTAATCTAATCAACAGAGATAAATAAAATAAAATAAAATGGATGATTATAAGCAAAATATATTATGCATCATATTGATTTTATTTATATATAAAATGGGAAATGATTTCCCAGATTCATAAACAAGAATCTGAAACCAAAGAAGAATTTCTCAACAGGTTCAAGTCACTCCCAAAAAGATCCTGATGCTTCTTCTCGAATTTAAAAGTAATACTGTAGCAGAAATTCTCCGTAAATAGCTCTCAAAATCTCTCAGTAAAACTCATTTCGCCATCAGCTTAAAAGTGATATTTTCTTGCAAATGACTATTCAACCAGCATGTGAAAGACAAGCTGTCTCATTTGTTCACTTCAAAATGCATATACCAGTTCACTTGCTCTTGAGAACCTTAGCCCATTGACTGTGCCAAGCATCCGCTTGTGAAACGCACTTGGGAACACTATCTAACCTGGATAGCAAAGGAAAAAGGCAAGTGTGTATATAGTTCGTTAACAGAACATCCGGTGAACTCACAGCATTCAGTTGCGTTTGAAAATTCCTTTAAAGTCCTATCACTTCCCTCAAAGTAAAAGTAAGACCAAAGAATCTAAGCATAGCGCAGGCACTGGCGATCCAAATGTTCAAGCCCACTCTATGTATTCAAAAGAAATACGTCCAACCATTTTCTTTATGATGGCCAACTGTACTGTTACCTGTCTTATCCCAGATCCCTGTCCATTTTGTTACTTCTAATTGCATAAAAAGTCAATTTTCTCAGTAACTATGATCCTACTATGTCTTTTTATCCGACCTTCCTGTTCATTACTACATTTTAATCCCTATTTGCAACTTTATTAATTTGACCCTTGGCTGGAAATCGTTCTGGAATTTCCTTACCCATTTGCTATAGATACATAAATGCACAGCACAGTTGATGACATGGTCGAAATGAAAATTCCCTTCATTGCAATCGTCTTTTTAATATTTCCTATAGATAAGCATTAAAATGGTTAGCTAGCTAGTAATACTTTGAAGTTTTTTTACCGGTTGAAGGAAATGTGGATGACATCCTGGAGCACTTAGGTCTCGTGCTTGTTAACACTTATCAACAGAGAATGTATGAAAAGTAGAAGGAACTGACGTTCCACAAGGGATATGAAAGTGCACCACAACCACTCCTGAAGTCGGAGACGTCATCACTCAGTTATTTAGAGTTGATCTGTTGTTGGACTCGTATTCTGTCTGGTCAGTAGGATGTATCTGGCATCATGTATCTATCACCTTTATCTGCATATAAAATTGCCGATCAATAATTGTTTTTCGACTTACTTGATATTTCATGGAGGATTTTATCATGAGCTGGCATCAGTTAGAGAACCACTGGAAAACCATCTGACAGTATTGGACAGCTGCTTCGTCCTGGTTTTGGACTCTTCAGCAGTAACTGCCGTTCTAGGTGGAAGTCTTGACCAGTAGGGTGCACCAGCTCGGGCATGAAGACAAAAACTCACTGAAGATATTGGCTAGGGGTTGCGCTATGTTGTGAATTGACAGAAGTTAGAGTTCAAGGACCATTGGATTTGGTCCCAGTGGCTCAGTGGTCTGCGAGCTCGCTAGCCTTGTAACCAGAAGGTCCTGGGTTCGAACTTCCCTGTGGTGGGCACGTACTGTTGAAGAGTCTCAAACTGGTTGGACGAAACAGCTGTCCAGTACTCCCTGTTGGTTTTCCAATGGTTCTCTAACTGATGTCAGCTCATGATGAAATCCTCAGTGCAATCAAACAAAAATCCCTACAAAACCAATGCTTGACATTTGTCGTTACAGTTCAACTTCAAAATTAAAATGTTCAGATCGTAAAATGTATGTGATCGTCACTTGAATATACAAATACCATTAGAGAAAACAAATTGAAGATATTTCCACACTATGTTATTTATCCGTATAAGTGGTTCAGATCATTCACTACCGTCGAGAAGTACTTATCAGCTTAACCAGACATCGATTTATCAGTTGACATTGCTTCTTTATTCCATATAAAACTATAAATCATGAGAAGCTATGATCGATGGGCTCAACTGGTAAAAAACAATCACTTTTTAAAATAATATCAAATAAAAGTCACATTATATAACTCATCGGAAAAGTTGGCGACTATCAGGGTTATTTTATTCTGACTTTCAGGTATTGTATGGCAACTTGCTGTCCAATACACCTTACAGTCCAAGGCGTAATGCCTCATCACCTCAGGCTAAAGTTATTGATGCTTCCTGATTATGAATAATTCTTTAATTTTCAAACGTTAGTTTGTGAGGATTTAATCGATTTCAGTATTGATCAACAACTGACTTCACTCAAAGAGGCATTCAAAATGAGGGAGTACTGGACAGCTGTTTCACCGCAGTTTAGGACTTTACAACTGTACACACCCATGACCCTACTAGGGATCGAATGTAGCACGACTAGTTCGTTTACACCATGCAATCACTGGGACGGAATCCAATCACCTGTGAACACTAATTCTTCAATAATGTAACTGCGGAACTTGGGCACTGTGGTAGAATCTAATTCCATGTAGATTAGTTTACTTTAACAATCACACAGCGATGATGCATTTTTTCACACATATAAACTGAATACTGGACGAAATCCAATTCTATTCTGAGTTATAAAATGAACAGAGTGAGTTGGCCATGCTAGACTGTAGAATAAGACCAAAAACAAGATGGTGGGTGGTTAGATACTAGCATTTGTAAGAAACCGACGCACTCTAATAACTACTTAGACTTTAATTCATCCCATCCAGAATCAGTAAAGATAGGTTTAGTTAAATGACTATGTAATCGGGCCAAGAGTTTAACTAGTAAGCCAGAAGATTTAAATCAAACAAATAATGGAAGTATTACCAGTGAATAACTACCCACAAGAATTTATTCAAAAATAATGTGAAGAACCATAGAAAAACTAAGATTAGTAATAAAAATAACGAAAATAATGTAGAATTCAAAGCCTCTGTAGTACTGCCGTACAAAAATGGAACATCAGAGGCCTAACGTAGAATTCTCAATTAGGCTGGAATTTGGATGGCGTTTAATCCAACCAACTGTCCTTGGTAAATTCTGATTAAGAAAAATAATATAATTTACCAAACAAGCATATGATGACTGTGAGTTCCCCTCAATTACATAGGTCAAATTAGTAGATCAGGGTCAACCAGATTACTGGAACATTAAAATTTAGTTAGACGTGAAGAATGATTGACTCTACTAAATTAAATAAGCTAGAAAAAAGTTCATCCATTTCACTGCATTCACTTGGATGTGATCACAAAATAGGATGGGTGGGATTGAGTGAGAGTATTAATGTAACAAATAACACGATCAGTGACCTTCATAGTTTCAATATTTCTGTTGTTCTTAATTGTTTAAAATCTCTTAAACCTTCCCAGAGTCTAGGCCCTGATGGTATACCTGCCACTGTCCTAAGGAAATATGCTGATATTTTAAGTAACCCACTTATAAACATTTTCAATACTTCCTTTTTTAATAATGTTGTACCTTTGTAACAACAGAAGACAAGGGCCAGGCAACAGATCGTTTTATTATGAAAATCAACACGTATTTATACATCTTTCAACTACATTATTATAGACAAGCGCAGTCATCTGATTGGTTGTTTAGGTAGACAAACGCAGGCTTCTGATTGGTTGTTTCGGGATTCCTTGACAAATAGAGTTCTCTCTGCGAATCATATTCTGCCACGTTAACTTTGCTGTGATTGGTTGATGACTCAGGCTTGTTCATATTTTCTCACGGCCCATATTAGTGACCTAGACCTTAACGTAGATTAGTGCCAACCAATCGGCTAGCAGCCTGCTCTCACCACACTCGTCCCCCCGTCAAATACGTGCGACTGAAGTCGGCTTGATCTACTTGGTGCAGGCGTCATCGTTGGCTTGTCTCGCTGTATCCATTTCTGGAGCTCGCTGACGTTCACGCGCCTCTCATTGTTCGCCATCGCGACTGTGTCTGCGTAACCCCATCTCGAAGTGACCATATATGGTCCTTCCCACTTTGGAAACTGTTTGCCTGACCCTGTCGAACATTCGTCCATACTTCGGCCCACACCTTCATATGCTGCTTTCGCCCGACCTCCCAGCAGCGTCTCAAGTAGCAGCTCCATCGCTGACAGATCTTGAACGCCACTCAACTGCGCAGAAGCCTAGAATTCCTGCCCGAAGATCCATATGTCTCCATCAAAAACAGCAGGCCATAGGCTTTCCATTTGTCGGTAGGCAGCGACACCAAATGTAACAACAGAAGACAAGGGCCAGGCAACAGATCGTTTTATTATGAAAATCAACACGTATTTATACATCTTTCAACTACATTATTATAGACAAGCGCAGTCATCTGATTGGTTGTTTAGGTAGACAAACGCAGGCTTCTGATTGGTTGTTTCGGGATTCCTTGACAAATAGAGTTCTCTCTGCGAATCATATTCTGCCACGTTAACTTTGCTGTGATTGGTTGATGACTCAGGCTTGTTCATATTTTCTCACGGCCCATATTAGTGACCTAGACCTTAACGTAGATTAGTGCCAACCAATCGGCTAGCAGCCTGCTCTCACCACACCTTCTCTGTGGAAAGATATTAAAAAATCATCCTTGTACCAAAGTCTGGTTCTGGAAATAGGGTTAAGTTTAGACCTATTCCTATTACCTCTCCTTTTTTGAAACTAATGGAGAAATTATTGTTACTAAAACTTGTTCCCTCCCTAAGCTTTCCAAATGATCCAAAGCAGTTTGCTTACAAACAGGGTAGAAGTACTCTGGATGCTGCTGCTGTGTTTCATCACAACATTGTATCCTCCTTAGACAAAGGGGCCAAGTATGTCCGTTGTACGTTCCTTGATTATACATCTGCTTTTGACTCTGTACCTAGAGGCCTTTTGTTAAACAAGCTTAGCCTTACACAAACTGAGTCCTGGGCTATCAACTGGCTGCACTCTTACTTCTCCAATAGGATGC